TAATGGTTAATAAATAAACTTAAAACTAAACAAGCTCACGTGATGTTACATAATATAAACTAACTTAAAAACTATTGTGGAACAATAAACAAAACCTTTATACAAAATGTTATCATACAGTTTCTATGTAATTAGATGACAAAAATCTATGATAATGATCCGTGCTGTCGCTACCTATGATATTTTAAATAAATCTTGTAAAATGATAAACATGAACATGTTAAGTTTACAATGAGTAAGAAGCTCTACTTAGCTTCTTACTCATTCTTCTCAGGCGAATCTGCCTTAAGAATGAGTAGTCGTGTTTTTAATTTGATAACGAATGTAATTTGCTTAACTATGAATCGGGATTCGAAATTCTCAAGATTATTTATTTTACAAGGAAAAAAATTAAATGAACATGGTGAAAAATTTTTCAGAAAACGACTTGGTTTGTCATTGACTTACAATTATATGGACGTCGGGTCCGCGCTAAAAAGTGTCCGCACTTGTAAGGCGCTAAAATCGTATACAGTGCGCCAAACTCCGCTTTAGTCTTCATTTGTTCGACTGAGAGCGCGATACTGCGATGACATTACAATTTAAATTTCGAATAGGTTGACTTGGGACATTTTTTTCGTGGTTTTTGTATTAGACCCGTCGTCCATTTATTTGTAAGTCAATGTGGTTTGTGACTTATTTTTGAGACTGACATTTGACACGTTTGGATACAAACACATGACACGACTTTGCTAACGATAGCATTTTGTTATTTCAATTAATTTTACAATTATCAAGGCATATTCATCATGATAACTATACAGAATATCTTTATTTCACAAAATTGCTGGGTATTTCCCACTTCATTACTGATCGCCAAATAAGAAAACGATGAAAACAAAACATTTTGATATAATATTTGGAAGGGTGTTGGTGAAATTACAGGCACTGCAACTGTTATGGATAGTCGTGTCGCTTATCACCAGGCGCACGACTTATTCGTCCCATTACTTGGTATTATAAAACAAATGTACAAAACATACGCATAGGTTTTTTTTTTAAATATTTCACACTATCAAAAACCATGAAAACAAATTTCTAAATTAATAAAACTCACTTAACAATAGTCAGGCATATTTTGTCTCTGTAACTAGAATCGATAGAACCAGGAGGTAACGTGACAGCCACGTCCACTTTGGACATCGTTGATGGTGTCGAAGTTACCAACTCCTGCAATTGCGATGACCCCTCACTGGATCTAGACGTCATTGTTCGGGCTGTAAAGAAAAATGTAAATTTAATTGCTTGCATACTATTCAAGAAGAAAGGAAATCAATAAATGGGATAAGCATTTTGTAAAAGTATCTATATGTCCTAGAAATTTCGACCTTCACACAGAACACAACAAAGGACTTGGAGGCTTTTGGGATGTGAGTTTCCTTAATATCTTGAGAATCCCATGGCGTGACCGGATCATGAATTATAAGACGTACTCAATAAGCTAACGAAAAATGTGAAGCTCATGAATATCATTAAAAGCAGGAAGATGTCGTAGTTCGACCACGTCATGAGGAATAACAAGTACAAATAACTCTAGCATAAAGACGAAGTACCGGTAAAGATAGCACACTTGGTTAAAATATTTGATGGAATGGTTCGGTTGCATTATCACCTCGCTCTTTAGAGCAGCAGCCTTTAAAGTCAGGATTACTATGATGTTATCCAACCTGTGCTAAAAGAGGAATCTTAAAAAGAAAACAAATAAAATAGTTCCGGAATTTCAGAAGCAGGTATTACTTAATTGAAGTCTAGGAAAAATTCACTGTGTCTAATTCCAATTTCTGATGTTTTGAAGTCACACATTATGAATTGATGCTCATAAATGCATGAAAGATTCAAATTTCATTATCAATAGCACGTAGCTGTACATTTAAGTATCATAACAGTTTTCATAACTTCAAATTACAATAATACAATCATAATTGTTCCCGTTTTACAGAAGCCGTTCATTGATGATTCACAAATTGTAATTCTTTCTAACTGACAAGAATTTAGTAACAATGCAGCTAATGAAAAGCAAACATTAGTTGATAGTCGTTAATTTGGACAATTTAGAATGGTGCCTAAAGGCATTTTTAAATAGTCTTGACGAGGCTAAATTAATGATATAACAAGGGGCACAGAAGCTGCAAGTTTTAAGAAATACGTTAAACGTTTAACCTTTGGGAAAGGAAGGAAGTTACGTCAATGGAAATATAGATAGGGTGGAACGATTTACGGTAATAAAAATTCATGTTTACACGTGAACAGAGCAAACTCAAACAAAACGGAAAAAGGAGAAAAAATATTTACGAGAAATGAAATTCATTGCTATATTAAGAAGTATGAAATAGGGTAAAATACTTACAATTAGTATAACAGCTGGAACCTGAATCTCCCGATGGACTATAAGGTTTCATTTCGTAATGGTTGCTTCCAATTGAAGACTGCTGTCTACTTCTATTTCCGAAAGGAGAGGAGTAACTAAAGTTAAAGAAAAGTAATATTGAAAATAACATCAAGTACACCGAAATATTGAGCAAATCAACAAATGAGATACCGAGGTACAAACCCATGAAATGATATCTCAGCTAAGTTTGCTGGGAGACTGATAATAAAGATGGAAAGTTAATAAATAAAGAAATTACAGAGATAATTCGATAGGGACGCTTTAAAGGGATACTTGTACCTTTGATCACAAATTATTACCTGTTTCGAAACTGAGGCATGTCGTAATGGTTATCAGGGCCCTGCATCCAGTATTCGTTGCACGTTCTAGTCAAGTCTGGTGCTGTATTGCCTTTATCTCTACTTGGGTAGGTCTTTGGTGCACCTGTATGGAGTTCACGTATTAGATGCATATGTAGGGTTATTTTTAAAATACTAACAACCTCGCAAGACTATATTACTAACGTTCTATACAATGACCTTCTTATCTCAAATATCGCTTTACTTTCCACTTTTCTACACTCTGCCGTCCCCTTCGCTCCTCTGATACTCTCTTACTAAACACTCATGTTGAACTGAAACTGACTGTGGAATTCTCTCACTGAATCGATTCAACGTGGGGAACGTTGATTGACGATTCCTTCAAACAACTTGTCAAGGATCATTTCCTCGACTCCTAAGTTTAGTATCGTGTCCACTATCTTTTCATTTATTTCCTACACTTATACTTCGTTTATTAATAATAGTTCTGTACTTATAATTCTTTGATTGCACCCCTTTTGCATATGCAAAATTTCTGCCCTAAGGTTGCCTAGAAGAAATAGCTATCCTTAATAACTTACTATCTTTATACTTAAGTTACTGTATTGTATTTTAACTGTAATTTTACGTGCAATAAAGAATATTACATTCATTCATTCATTCATTCATTAAATAACTTTTGTTCCATGACTATGTTGTTACAAAACAATAAATTTGCCAAAAAATAACCTTTTAGGTTTTTGTTGTACGTACTATGTACTGACCTTTCTGATGTGTATTGGTAGTAAGCTATTGCGTCGTGTCCCCGACTCCTCTCACCCGTCTTACGTTTTGCACAGACTGATAACCATTTAAAGCGATTTTATTTTTGTATGAAAGCAAAATATATGATGAATTATAAAAGCCATGGAACAAAAGTTATTGTTTATGATGTTAGTAATACTGTCCTGCGAGGTTGCTAATAGTTTTCTTTACTTTAGTAGAATTAAAATTATTAATACAAAGATCGAACACTTAGAAAAATTCCTTTCTAGCGTTTTAATTTGTATTATGTTCCGTCAAGGCTGAAAGAGATATTCAATTAAGGACCACCCATCTGACGCCAGATAATCGCATGTTGTTAAAAACAATTACTAGCAATTAAAAAGCCGAATAGCTGCCAACTCTGTACGAAATATATGAGCTATTGAACTTAAGACTCCAATAACTAACGGCAATTAATATAGTATTAAAACAATTACAGAGCGACGCCGGTTGATTTTAAAACTAGAAAAGTGGAATGGAAAAGTAATAGACAAGAAATATAACTTTCAAAAACTTACCTATTCTAGCAGAAGTATATCCCGTTCTTCTGAATCTGCACCAAATATAAAAGATGGCTGCTCCAGCCGCCAACATCGCAATTGTGACGCCGATCCCTACGTACATAACTGTGTCTTGCCTTGTTATACCTATTACAGTAAGAAACGTCACCATCATTTTAGAAAACAGCTGATGAGTTATGCAGACGTAAACAAAGAAAGAATTGAGAGAAAAATAGATAAGAAAATACAAAAGGATACTGAAGTAGTCTGTAACCACGAGGTCGCTTAACAGATACGAGGTAATTCAACAATCAGGCACGTAAAGATAATTGTAAGAAAGGCATACACCATACATAGATATAAAAATGCAATTTGATAAGTTTAAAAACGTTCAAGGTCGCTAAGAAACTTTGAGTTCAATGTTACCCATTCCAGTAGAGCATAGCCCGTCGACGCAAGCAGCATGTTGCAACGCAGACCCAGAGCATGACCCTGAACATTGTCGTCTTCGGACCCTGATACAGTCGATGCTGCACGAGGACCACGATCCCCAAGGTGACCAGGAACCTATGGAGACAGTAGTGTGACCAGGACTATACAGTGAACTTTGAATCCACATGAACCCAGATTTATAATTAAAAAATATTCATTTTCCGAATTGGATTTTTTCTGAACTCAGTTTCGAAATTTAGATTAAATTATTTCTATACGCCGAGTTTCTAGGTTTTTTAAATTTTTTTTATTAAACTATTTTTTGGTCTAAACCGCGTATACATATTTGTTATTTCAAACAAAGCAACGGTTTGGGCTCTTTACGTGTCTCATGGTCATTGTTCACGGTATATCCACCGTAGACCTACACACACCGTGCGTGAATAGCAGCAGCACATACTTTTTGAAACAGTTCATAGTTTTTTATTCTTTTAATTTTATACTCCTTCTGATGTTTTGTTTTTAGTTCTTAATCGTCATTGTAAAGATTTTCAATTTTTTCCTCTTTTTCCTCTATTTAAAACCCGCTAGGCATATTTGCTCAAATTTGTAAAGAAATCGAGAGACTAATGTTGATAGAGACGTTCTTATCAGCCACAAAAACACTAAACATAAATTCGCTATACAGTGAATCAACTGCTAGCTTATCAATAACTTGTTGTTTAACTTTAATGTCAATGTAAATTATGTGACAAATAGACAATTAATCTCAATTGTTGTTCTAGATTGCCAATAATTACGAATCGATTCACTGGAGAAACAGTGTCATAGGTCAACACTAGTTCATCAACATTCCTTGTCTACATAACTACTACGCGATATTATTTTAATTGTTAGAACTCATTTTGGGGGTTGGTGTTGCTCGCTTCCGTAGGTTTACCCTTGAGACCCTACAAGTGACCCCTGGGTGGTGCTAAAGAGCAATAACTACTGGTGGTAGGCTTCGGCCGTGGCTAGTCACCACCCTCCCGACGCAGTCGAGTCGCCAAATGGTTTTTACCGTGTTCCGACTCGTGTTCGGGAGTTGCCATTTGGAGGTCGGGTCTGAACAGTTGCATTGCGTCTGACGGCGAGTTGTAGCTGCTTGTACTGCCACACTGAGCACTCGGTTCTGGAGGCTAGCGGGATCCGAAGCACGGTGCACCGCTGGCCGACCGTGGGAAGTTGGGGGCCCAAGTAGCGGGAAAGCCACCCGTGAAAGGCTGCCCCGCCACCCAACGAAAAATCCCGGAATGCTCCACCTTGCCGGTTGGCGACCGGAAGGGAGGACCAGGTGGCCATCTCCGGGGGGGTTCGGGCGTCCCCGCGGTCTCCAAGCCGATTGTAACCTCGTGTGGCAGTATGAGTCTGCTGCTTGGTTGAACACGACGCAGTGCCTCGTTCAACTGCCTTCCTCCTGCCTATTCACTTCTCCAAATCCAAAAATGAAAAACTATAAAAATGGAAAAAAGTATACACAGCGGTTGCACGTCCTCCCACTAAAAGTGCACCTCACTAACATCCGAGGTCTGCACTCAAATCTCGATTCGGTCCACTACCACCTTGAAACCGACAAACCGCAGCTGCTGTTCCTCACAGAGACGCAGATCAGATGTCCGACTGACGCAGCGTACCTCAGCTACCCCGGGTATACTCTGGAGCACAGGTTCGTACCTCGTGCCGGAGTCTGTGTGTACGTTCGCGATGACATCTGTGTCAAGCGTCTCAAGAACCTTGAGGCACCGAGTTTTTCAATTTTGTGGCTTCTGGTTGACACAGGAGTTACACAAATAGTGTACTGCTGTGTTTACCGATCGCACAGTGGAGATCAGGAGACGACCAAGCTGTTCCAATATCTAAGTGAGACGTCTGATGAGATTCAGCATAGGTACCCAGCGGCGCAACTAGTCATTCTGGGGGACTTTAATGCACACCATCAAGAATGGTTGTTCCCATACCAGAAGACCGATCACGCTGGGAGAGAGACGCGTAAACTTGCGTTAACGCTAAGCTTATCCCAGCTTGTCAGTGGCGCCACTAGGATACCAGATGTTGAATCTCATACGGCTAATTGCTTGGACCTTCTGCTGACAACTGATCCGGACCGATACTCTGTGGTTGTGGAGGCCCCACTGGGTACTTCCGACCATTGTCTGGTGAAAACTGTATCCGTATACTCCCCACCCGATCAGGGCCCTAGTGGTATGAGACGGGTGTGGCGATACAAGTTAGCAGATTGGGACGAAATGCGCCATTTCTTTGCGTCATATCTCTGGCAGGCGTGCTTTACTTCAGGAGACTCGTCGAGCTGTGCTGATGCTGTAGTCGAGGTCTTGCGTTTGGGTATGGAGTATTACATTCCATACTCTGATGTACCCAATGGACCCCAAGCTCGTCCATGGTTTAACGCTAATTGTAGTTGTGCTGAAGCACGTAAACAGTCCGCGTACCAAGCTTGGGCAGATGCTCGACTACGCAAAACTCCGAGTACTCAGAACATGAAGAAAGCTTTTAATAAGGCCGCCAAGAAGTGCAAAAGCATGTTACGTAGGGCCAAGTTCGACCATGTGCGCCGCATAGGAGCCAAGCTTGCCTCTTATCCAGCAGGCAGCAAATCCTTTTGGTCCCTGGCCAAAGCGGTCGAATCGAACTTTTGTCGCCCATCTTTGCCACCTCTGCTGAGGCCGGATGGCTCGCTGGCTCATACTGCGGAAGAGAAGGCGAATCTCTTTGCCTCACTCTTTGCAGAAAATTCGCGTCTAGATGCCGCAGGGACCCTACCACCTACTTTACCTCAGGCTGGCTGCACTATGGCGCCAGTTCGCATACGCCAAAAAGAGGTACTTAGAACTCTGCGAAATCTAGACGTGAATAAAGCTAGCGGGCCAGATGGAATTCCAGCAATAGTCCTTCGTAACTGTGCACCTGAGTTGTCTCCTGTTCTCACACGCCTGTACCGCCTCTCACTTGAGACTGGTGTAGTTCCCAGATCGTGGAAGCTTGCAAACGTGCAACCTGTACCAAAAAAGGGAAGCAGAGCTGACCCTGTCAACTATAGACCTATCTCAGTCACTTCCATACTCTGCAAGACTATGGAACGTGTACTCAACAACCGTCTCCTATCGTACCTTGAAGACAACGATCTCCTCAGTGATCGCCAGTACGGATTCCGACGAGGGCGATCTACTGGGGATCTTCTTGTGTATGCCTGTCACATATGGAGCGAGGCTATAGAAAAGCAAGGCGAAGCACTTGCAGTGTCTTTGGACATTTCTAAAGCCTTTGACAGGGTCTGGCACGCAAGCCTTTTAAGCAAGCTTCCCTCTTATGGGCTTCCCACTGACCTTTGCAATTGGATCTCGGATTTCTTGAGCGAACGTTCGATTCGAGTGGTCTTAGAAGGCTACTCTTCCGAACATATGGCGATAGATGCCGGAGTTCCTCAGGGTTCCGTACTGTCTGCAACTCTCTTTCTGCTGCATATCAATGATATGTTAATTCCAGGTACCTTTGCGTATGCTGATGACAGCACAGTTGTAGATAGGTACTTGACCAATGCAAGGGTCAGTGGAGAGGAAATCCAGTCTTGTCGAGAGTCCATGGTTAGCCGTTTAGATTTGACACTCCAGGCAGTCTCCGATTGGGGCAATGCCAATCTTGTCAAATTTAACGCTACCAAAACGCAGGCGTGTCTATTCTCCACAAAACGGAGTCCCTTTGAGCTGACTCCGACTTTTCGTGATATATCCATACCGATAGCCGATTGTCTCCAGCTACTTGGAATGGACCTGTCGTCCAATTTGAACTTCGGCAGATACATTGAATCCACGGCCAAAAATGCAGCAAGGAAGCTTGGGATCCTTTCCAGGGTGAGGCGGTACTTTACACCGGGACAGTTGCTCCAGCTGTACCAGGCACAAGTCCGATCGTGCATGGAGTACTGCTGCCACCTTTGGGATGGCTCTGCGACATATCAACTGGCCACTTTGGATTCAATTGACAACCGTGCCAAGAGACTTATAGGTGACTCGGAATTAGTGGAGGCGAAGCTGCAGAGCCTTGAACACCGCCGTAAAGTTGCCTGCTTATCGGTATTTTACAGGATATATCACGGAGAGTGTGCGATGGAATTACATGATTTAATTCCGCCTTCCCCTTTCCATCACCGGGGGACTAGGCGTAGGCTTGGGTTCCACCCCTATGTTGTGGATATTCCAAAGATTCGCACGAAGCGTTACGCTTCCACATTTATATGGCGAACGGCTATGGAGTGGAATTCCCTGCCTGCAGACTTGTTCCCTGAACGTTATAACTTGGACCTTTTCAAGGCGAGAGTGAATAGGCATTATTTAGGTGTGCATGCTCCATCGTCGACCTCATCGTCACTTTCCATCAGGTGAGATGGAGGTCAAATGCGCACCTATATTTTATAAAAAAAAAAAAAAAAAAAAAAAAAAAAAA